CTGGGATTACAGGTGTGAACCATGTGACATCAAGCTTAAAGATGTTTTTTAGTTTCCTCTTTGAAACCTTTAAGCTGCCATAGTAAAAACCTTGAAGAAAACTTTTAGATATACCAAATATTTAAGCACTTGTGAAAAATAAGTAAATCTATTAGTTCACTTGAATTATCATCTTATTAATACTAATGGATAAATTTACAGTGATTACTTATCCAATATGCTCTCACAATATACTTCCTCTTCTCCCCAGACCTGAGATTAAGACATGGTATTTTTTTCCTGGTAGCACTTTGTTCTTTATTTTTTTAACGTATTTTATTATTATTGTAGAAGTAATGTACAGAGGGGTACAGTTACATAAGTCATGTATTGATGACATTTCTTTTTGAACCATGTCACCCCTTCCTTTGCTTTCTCACAATTTTTTCCTCCCATCTCCACCCACAGGTTGTATAGTTCATTTTCCATATAGTGTCTAGTGAGTATAACTGCTGTATTTGTTTACCATTTTTCCCATCTTTCCCATGAACCTTTACCCTCCTATCCACTTGTTCTTTAGATTAAAAAACTAAAAGTAGATATCTTCCATAATTACCTGATAAATTTGCTTCCTGAGGTACACACAGAGGTTGTCTATAATTAGTCAATAAAATAAAATAAGCTCTTAACATGCAATAATACCACCCAAATAAATATTAAGAGAACAAATATCATTTCATATTAGATTCTGAGCTCAAAAGAACTTCTGAATCTCAGTATTTTATTACAGTAATAAGTTCCAGTCAGCTAAAAAAAAATCTGTGCTTTCAGTTAGTTAGTCTATGCATTCATAGCAGGAGATTTACTCTTGTTATCAGGTTTTATGTGTGCTTCATCATTACTGATTTCTATAATCAGAACTACAAGTCACTCACTTCTGACTTGACTGGAAAGGAAGATGTAAAAGTGAAAGTGGTTTGAAAGAATGACTGCCTCTCCTGAAGGGCAGGTGAGGGTTCAGTGACCTGTGGGCACATTGGTTCATTCTTGTGAATCACTGCTTTGGGGAGGTGAAAGACCCTGTGGCTCATAAAACTTGATGATATTAAGAAGAGGGAAAGAATTCACACTTGAGGTGTCAGGGTCACTGGAAGAAATACAGTTTTAAAAATTCAAGTGTGAGAAAAAAATACTATATTTAAAAATGAATTGCTAATGTTTTCTTCTTTTAAAAAGTATTGTGGAAAACCCATATCATACAGATGTTCATTACTTATTCAATGTACACAACTGGGAGATAAATAGAACTGTTAGAATACGAAAGTGCCAAGGGTAATTCAACCACTGCAGTCTAAGTGTGGTATAACTGATTCGCCGTGACATACAATTTTCTAAAAGCTATTCTGTTAGAAGGCAATAAATGAGTAATAAATGATTTACACTCTTTTGGACCATGGTTATTATTCAGTATTTTATTTTTAAAAATATATATACACCCTATACTATTATGTTTATTCTCTAGAGTATAATAAAAACATAATTGAATTTGATGAAAAATAGACTTTATTCTAAATGTGGTGTATAGCACATACAGAGACCCTCTTATTATATCCCTTGTGAAGATCAATGGTCACTTGAGGTGGTTCTGGCTGCAGGTTTCTTTTAATATATGGGCAATAAAATATTTTTAATTTAGAAATTATATCCTTCTATTCCATACTGAATTTTATTTTTAATAATAATGCCTGAATTTCAACCTAAAGCATAATTCATGAATGTAAAATACAATATTTTAATCATTGTTATATTTTTAAATATGATTTTTTTATTGATCGAGTAGAGTAGGAAATTAAGTTTAGCGAATAAAAACAAAGTAAAAACAATAGTTCAGTGATTCCCTTTGTTCTGATATAGCCTAAAGGCCATTGTGAAGAGAGAAATTAATTTTTTAAAAGAATTTCCAGTGGGTACAGTTGTACCAGTTGTGTAAACCTGTGTAATTCCAGCTACTCAGGAGGTGGAGATCAGATCAATCAGATTGCAGTTTATTCCCAGCCTAGGCAAAAATGAAGCTCCATCTCAATAAACAAGGCATGTGCACAGTTGTGATCCCAGTTAAGCAAGAGGCATAGGTATGAGGACTGTATTCAAGGTTAGCCCCAAGCAAAAACAAGCCCTAATTTGAAAAATAAAAGTAAAAAAAATTGGAAGTATGGGTCTAATGAGACCCTGAGAGATGGTGGTGTGTACGTGTATGTATATATGTGCACATGTATGTGTGTATATAAAACACCATCTCTCAAATTGAGATAAGTGATGTGTGTGTGTGTGTGTGTGTGTGTGTGTGTGCGTGCGCGCACGCGAGTGAGCTAGTTCTAGGGCTTCAACTCAGGTCTAAGTTTTATTGCTAAAGGCTAACATTCTACCACACTTGAGCTACAGCTCCACCTCTGGCTTTTTGGTAGTTAATTAGAGATAAGAGTCTCATGGACTTTCTTGCTCAGGCTGGCTTCAAACCACAATCCTCAGATATCAGTCTACTGAATAGACAGCATTCCAGATGTAAGCCACTAACATCCAACAAAGTAAGTGATTTGATAATCTATTTAAGTGAATAGTATTTGTATTTCTAAGGTCTTTAGTTAGGAAATTCTGTTTTATCTATATAACACAAAATTCTATAAATACATCATTACAGTAAAGTCATACAGTCATTTTATATTTATGTGTAATGTCCTTTAATATCAAATATATACTCACAACAGTATAGGGTAAAGTCACTTATATGCTATCTTTAAATTGTATATATATGCATATGTATGTATGCTAAACATATGCAAACATACATAGCATTATACATATACACATATATACAATTTTATGTATGCATGCTAAACAAGAAAATGAAACAAAAATAAGGAGTTCAATTCTCCTACTAATATTCAGAGTAAATATTTTCCTCTTCTCCTTTCTCATAAAGCATTTGCCTTAGAAAAAACTTAATTGCAAGTATTTTCCTCTCTTTGGCATGTATGCCTTAGAAAAGTAGATATGCCTTGTCAGCTATGTGGCCCAGAAGTGTCCTTCTCAAGAATCTGGCAGCTAAGATTTTTGAAATAGAAATAAATAGCAATAGCAATAGCTCCCTCAGTTCCAGTTGAAATGATAGGAGCCTATCTTCAGTGAGCACTTTGTTCCAATTTACCAAACTCCCTACTGCAATAGGATATGAGAAGTTTGTTTCTCATGTTAGCTAACACAAGTTGTCTCCCCAAATCCACGGTTAAGTTAGAATGTTCTATGTGTGACAAAATGCACAATCAAGTCTTCTTACTTGAGTATCAAATTGTTTGTCCTGGAATATTTGTCAGCTTGGCTCTCTAAGGTGGTAAGATCTCTCAGCTTGGTCTAAAGTTCTGATTGCCTGTCATACACATTCTATTCTAGGGTGCTCAATAAAATAATTGCTTTCCTTCTCTACTAATTACATGAAGAAGACTTCTGAGAATGCATATGTTTTTGTGTTTAATTTTAACTCTTAATAATTTGCTCTCTTTCTAATGTATTTGTGCCCACTCATGATAAAGAATCCAACAGTTTTCTCATGTAATCTGGAAGAAAACTACTGTGGGAACATTTCACACACTTGATTCACTTTCTTTGAACCAATTAAGCATACCTTAAAGAAGGAAATAATACACTTTAAAGAGTAAATGCATCATTAAACAATAGAATTTTTAATGTGGTTTGCACATATGTAACCCTGATCCAGTAGATTAGAACTTTTGAACAAAATGATCAAATAAGTGAATAGCTTGATTATAAAGACAACATCTTTTCTATTTAAGAACATGGAATAAATGGAAAACCACCATGTTATATATAATTCGGAGTATTTTGTGACATAATTTTTGGGGTACAATTCATGAAGTCAGACTCTTATTTTAGTGAGAGAAAAGAACTCAAAATGAAAAATGTCATGCAAAACAGTTTTTGTTTTATTTTAAATTTACTTTTATTGTAAAAGTGATGTACAGAGGATTATGGTTACATAATTCAGTAAAGAGTACATTTATTTTTGAGCAATGTCACCCCTTCCCTGGCTCTCTTTCTATTTTTCCCTCCCGTCACTAACCACAAGTTATATAGTTCATTTTCAACATAGTGTATAGTATTACAATTGTGTTTGTTCACCCTTTGTCCCAATATTTCTGTGCCTTCTTTTACCTTCCCAAGACAGATTAAAAAAAAAAAAACAAAAAGACGACAGGCAATGAAAACAAAAACAGCAACAAAGAATGGAAAAAACCCTCTAGTTCCATTTCTTGGAATTCATTTCTATAAATATTATTTTATATGATCATATACACATAGCTATTGCCCCTGTGTGATCCTCTTCGAAGAATATCCTCCTTTGGTCTCACTGTGTGAATGCCTAGAGACATGTTTAGTTTATCATGTACCCATGTGTTTTTTCAAAATAAGGTTTTTGTTGTTGAGATTTGAACCGTCTTGATTATTATTTAGCCAATGATAACCTGGAACTTACAAACAACCTGCTTTGATCTCCTGAATTATAGAATTATAGACTTTTGCCACTAATACCTGGCTCTAAAATCGTTCATTTTTAATGTTCTGTTTTCAGCAACTCAGCAATGGTGACCTTATACTACCATTTTAATACCTTAATTTCATTTTAATTTCTGTGGTTATCATTTAAGCCACAATGCTTATCTCTAAACAAATTAATGAAAATCTAGGATGACAGTATTTCATGTAATCAACTATAATGTATCTACTTTATGATGATGCTCATATTTTTTACTCCTTAAAAATATTAATCAGATAAAGCAAGTATGTTAAATTTTAAGAAAAGAATGATAAACAGTATTTTTCATAAAAGGAAATGATAATTAAATCCCAAAATTATATTAGAGCAGGCAACCTTTAAAACACATTAGGTAAATTTCCCATGGATGAAATGTGAAAAGTACTTGTTTTAAATAAATAGTAGTATTTACCTTGCAGCATTTTGTTCGATCTGTTCATCAATGTCACTGAAAATCTGCTTAAACTCCAAGTCTCCAGGGAATGAGTCTAACAAACATTGTAGGTCAAAGGAATTATGGGAATATTCATCTACCCAATCCATTCTGAGGAAAGAATAAATAATAAAACATGTCAGTTCCCCCCAAATAGGGGAGGAGAAAAGGAAAATCATCTCAAGTTGTGACAGTAAATAATACAAATAATAATTTCCATTTACAGACACAATGAATTATAGATGTAAAAAAATCAAAGTATCATTAAAGATTGGAGTATTTTGTTATATAATTGTCATGAGGTGTGACTTAAGTTTCACACTTCTCTGCGGTATGAAAGCTGAACAACAAACCAGCCACCTCATCCAAGAGTATCAGTAAGCATCTTGCTGCTTACTGTAAGCAAGAATGACAGAGGAAATCACTGTAAACACAGCTGAATGCAGCAGAAACTCACACTTTTCTCCATCCTTCTCAATATTCTCATCTGGAAATTGTAGACTTAAATTTTCTAAGCCCATTCTCCTTGGGCCTATTTTAATGTAAAAGGGGAAAATCATATAAAGGTTCCCCTAGCAATGCCTTGAAAACCTCAGTGTATACTTCTCCTTAAGGCATAGACCTAAGGCTCTCAGTGTCAATGTTTCAAATTCATTCATTCAGTATTTATTTAATGTTTGCTTAGTAACAGGCACTACTCTAAAAGCTCAGATACAGCTGCAGAAAGCCAAAAACCCTTGCTTTTATTTAGTTTTTGCTCCAGAGGGAGGAAGGACTTTTAACTCATGATTTGAAGCCAGACTGAAGCAGGAAAAGTTTGGGAGACATTTATGTCCAATTAACTACCCAAAAAGTCAGAAGTAGAGCTGTGGCTCAAGTGGCATTTGCATTAGTCTTGAGCACTAAAGCTCAAGCCCCAGGACCAGCATGCGCACGGATGCACACGCACGCACACGCGCGCACACATACACACACACACACACACACACACACAGTTATTCTGCGATTATTCTGTGATATTTTTATGTTGAATGTATATTTATACTTTTTATTGATATTGGTTCTGGGGTGAAACAATAATGACTGAAACATTATTTAGCATTCTGATAAGGCTGATGATCATGATTTTAGTTTCCCTATCTAACATGGTATATGACTTTTTTGTTGCTGTTGGTGGTGGTTGTGGGACTTGAACTCTGGGCCTGGGTACTGTCCTTGAGCTCTTCAGCTCAAAGTGAGCGCTCTACCACTTGAGCCACAGCGCCACTTCCAGTTTTCTGGTGGCTTATTGGAGATAAGAGTCTCAGAGACTTTCCTGCCTAAGCTGGCTTTGAACTGTGATCCTCAGATCTCAGCCTTCTGAGTAGCTAGGATTATAGGCGTGAGCCACTGGCGCTCGGCAGTATATAACTTTTTAAGTCTAACTTCGGTATGGAAAATAATCAACAAACACCAAAACTGTAAGAAATGTCAGCTGACAATAGTACTAAAGTATTCAAATGATGACGTTTCAGAGTTTTAATGTGAGCTGACTAAATCTGTGAATACTTCCATATCTATGATTAATTTTATAGATGAAACTAAAGTCATCTAGTGCCAGCTAGATTATGATGCTTTATCATAAGCTAAGGTAAAACCTGCCAGCAAAATAGAGTTTGGTGATACATGCCTATAATCCCAGCTATCCAGAAGGCAGAGGTAGGAGAATCATAGTCTGAGGTCAGACCCAGGTAAAATGGGAGACACTGTCTGAAAAACTGAAGCTGAAAGGGACCTGGTAGTAGAACACCTGCCTGACAAAGGCTTTGAATTCTATCTCCAGTGCTATTAAAAAGAAAAAAACCCCACAAAAATCACTAAAAAGATAAGCAAATAAGCCTGAGTTAAATAGGAAGGCATATGACTAAAATGGCAGAAAAAGAAGGGCAGTGGCTGATGCAACAGTTGATGCCAATGTTTGGAGAGAGATTTTTGTGTTACCAGGACAGTGATTCAACATGCACTAGAGGGGACCCAGCGTTCAATCACCACTCTTGTCTGAGTAGAGATAGTAACAACAGTGAGAAAAAAAACACAACAACACAAAAAAGCTTTAAAACTTTCTGTGTTTTTAATCAGTTTTTTCTGTAAGATGTAAAAAAGTTTTCAATCTAGTATTAACAGCCAATCTAATAATAAATATTGCTTTCTAAAATGATTAAAGAGTTTTGCTTGAAAAGTTATATCAAAGACAAACATTTGTAAAGCACATTTTAGCTCTGGGAAAAATTACATTATAAAATTTATAACCACTGAGTTATAAATTCCCCAAAACAGTGACTGCAAGAAAAAATGAATATACTATAAACACTACCAAAAAACATTATAATAACAGTTTTAAAATGCCATATGTGATTTTTAAAAGTCTGAAAGCTTACTTGCCCTTTGCCATATTTTTTATGTGTATTTATTTATACTGGTGCTGTGATTTGAACTCAGGGCCTGGCCACTGTCCCTGAACTTCTGTACTCAAGGCCAGTGCTCTAACATTTTAACTACAGATCTATTCAGGCTTTCTGGTGGTTAACTGGACATAGGAGTCCCACAGACGTTCCTGCCTGAGCTGGCTTTTTACCACAATCCTCAGACCTCAGCCCCCTGAATAGCTAGAATTACAAGGCTGAGCCACTAGCACCAGTCAATATTGTAATTAATTTATTTTTACCAATCCTGAGGCTTGAACTGAGGGCCTGGGCACTGTCCCTGAGCTTCTTTTTGCTCAGGGCTAGCACTCTACCACTTGAGCCACAGTGCCACTGCCAGCTTTTTCTGTTTAAGTGATACTGAAGAATCGAACCCAAGACTTCATGCATGCTAGGCAAGTACTCTACCACAAAGCCACATTCTCAGTCCCCAGTCAATATTTTGAAATAAGGACAGAAATCCTTAAAAAAAAAAAAAGAACAGAGATCCTTCAGTCATTTTATTTAAACTTACACAATATCAAGAATTCTTATTTTACTTTTTTTGTTGTTTCTTCAGTAATAAACTTACAAGTTCCACTTCTATATGCCAAACCAATACTTTCTTAAAAAGGAATAAAAGATGAAGGAAGGAAACAAACAAAAATCAATTAAAAAGACAAACAATAACAACAAAAACAACACTGGGAAGAACTCCACCCTGAAATGGAGTAAATAAAAAGAGAAACATTAGGAGGAAGTAATGTAATCTCTTTGGAAAAGCCTGGTGAGAAACTTCACATGCCTCCTTAGATTTGCAAACAAATGACATCAATGTGTCTACTAGCCCTAGCCCTATGAAGTCCTGCATTCATTATCAGTGTCTAATTCAGAACACTGTTAATATGCATAACAATGAAATGGTATATTGTGATGAATTAACAGTAACAGCATTCAATTAATAATCAGGAGATATAAGGCTTGCTCTTGGTTCTGCTAATATAAGTAACCTTGGAAAGATAACTCAAATCTCTTTAGAAGAAAAGCCATCATGTTCCTTATCTCTAGAATGAAGTGGGTAGATTTATTATGCTTTAATGATTCTGCTAGTTATTAATTTGTTGTATTCTGTAAGGGGTGGTGGTAAGAGGACACATTTCTAAGAGCCACAATGGACCTATTTTGTTAAATACTATCATTTTTCCTTTGTATTCTCAAAACTTTTTAAAAAGGGTCTCATATTACCTAAGTTGGATTTGAGCTCCTAGGCTACCCTCCTGCCGTAGTCTCTTGAGTAGTTGAGGCTCCAAGCATGCACCACTCATGCCTGCTACAGAGTTTTTTGAGCTTTTTAAAATTACATAGTGTGTGTGTGTGTGTGTGTGTGTGTGTGTGTGTGTGTGTGTGTGTGTGTGTGTGTGTGCGTGTGTGTATGGGTGGGTGTTGGGTATGTCTGCATGTGGTGTGCTGGTACTAGGGCTTGAACTCGGGTCTTTGTGTGTTCACATAGCTCTTTGATTTTCAGCTGGTATTTTACTAGTTGAGCCACACCTCTAATTCTGAGGTTTTGCTGGTTAGAGAGTCTCTAGGATTTGTCTGCTCTGGCTGGCTTTGAATCATGATCTTATGTTCTCAGCCTCCAAAGTAGCTAGGATTAGAGGCACCTGGCATCTGGCTCATATTATTCTATAGTAAACATTTTAAATTCATTTAAAAACATTTTAACCTCTCCAGGCTCTGTCTGGCTGCGAAGTTTAATATGTCAAATGATTTCTTTTTAAAACAAGAGTTAACTTTTCATAGAAAAATTTGATTTATTCTATTAAATGACAAACTTCAATATTTAGAGAACATAAGACATGCTTAGACTTAGCTCAGCCTTTCTCAGGAAATGCGAGATACGTCTCACTTTCCAGTATTTATAAGAAGCCATGGTTAGCTTTGTAATTTTTTATCAGCACTCAATTAGATATACAGGGACTTTATCTGGACCATATACTGTATGCATATAATGTACCTTGATGAGACTTACCCCTCTTTCACTCTCCTTCATCCCCCTCTTCTTTCCAAATAAATCCCAGCCAGTTTTATTATTATTTTCACACATGTACATAAAGTATATTAACCATATTCCCCCTTCTATACCATCCCCATTCATTCTCCCCTCCTCTTATTAGCACCCACACTACAGGATGTTTCGCATTCCTGTCAGTCTTTAAGGTGTGTACTATTTGGTCATTATATATTTTCCACATGGAAAGACTGTACTTCAATTAAATTGATTCCTTTACTTTTACTTTCCCCATCTCCATTTCGCCATTCAAGAACTTTCAGTGAGTCTAATTTTGCTATCTACATTCATAGGTGTTCTGTATGTTCACACAGCATTGTTCACTTTTTCTCTTTCCCTTTCCCCATTCTCTTTATTTCCCTCTAACATTCCCACAATTACAAACATTATCTATCTATCTATCTATCTATTTATCTGATCCTCTTGTGTTCATGTATCTATTTCTCTTCTAAGACTAGCATCCATATGATTAAAAAATGCCTAGCTATTGTCAACAGTGCTGCAGTGAACATGGATATGTGAATGCCTCTATTATAGCCTGGCTTACATCTCTTTGCATATATGTCCAAAATGGTATCACTGGATCTACTTTCATCTTT